CTGAAAAGACATACAACTTCATTCCTAAGAAAATGAAATTAAAACTACTAAGATGCCAGTTTTTACTTATTTCTAAAACTCCAAAAATTTTATAACATCCTGTTAATGGGGTTATGGGGCAATACATACTTTCTTATATTGCTGGTGAAAGCTTATACAACCTATGGAGGGTTGCTCAGTCTTTCCATCTTAATTCTCCCTTGATCCTATTTCCCCCTCTGACTACAAACTCTTCTTACTTTCACAGCCAAACTTCTTGAAAGAATTGTCTACACTTGCCGTCTCCATTTCCTCATATCTCCACATCAGTTTGGTTTCTGCCCTATAATTTCTCTGAAACATCTCTTGCTAAGGTCACCAGTGGGCATTTTATATCTTCATCCTTAGTAGAAGTCTCAGCAGCATTTTGACCAAATTCCTCCTGAGGTATTTTCTTACTTTGACTTTCATGATACTGTGCTCTCTTGGTTTTCTTCGAACCTCTCTGACCACTTAACAACTCCTTTACATTGTTTTTTGTCAACTTTTCTTTCCCTTTTTTTTTTTTTTTTTTTTTTTTAATTTGGAGCTTTCCAAGACCCCTGTTCTTTGGACTCCATATTTTCTCTAGTCAGGTCTCTCTTAAGACTAAAGTTCCAATTACTGACAATGACTAGGATTTGTATCCTCAGTACCCATCTCTTCTGATTTCAGCAAATTACCACAAACATAGTACCTTAAGACAACAAAAATTTAGTCTCTTACAGTTCTGAAGGCTCTGAAGGAGAATCTTTTTGTTTGTTTGCTTGTTTTTTTGTTTTGTGGGGTTTTTGTTTGTTTGTAGCCCCCCCTTCTAGTGGCCATCTTTATTTCCTGGCTTGTGTTCCCTTCCTCCATCTTCAAAGTGCATCAATACAATCTCAGCTTCTATCACCAAGTCACCTTCTCTCTGTGGTGAAATCTCCCTCTGCTTCCTTATGACAACTGTGATTACGTTTGGGCTCACCTGGATAACCCAGGATATCTTGCCATCTCCAAATTCTTAATTTATTCACAGCTGAAAAGTCCTTTTGCCATATAAGATAACAGTCACAGGTTCTAGGGATTAAGACCTGGATATCTTTGGGAGCCATTATTTTGCCTACTACACACTTCAAGCTCATTATGTCCCAAACTGAAGATACCACCTCCCCACCCAAAGTTGGTCCTCTCCTCCAACTTTCTCTATGTGGTTGCAAAGGGCAGAACCTGCAAGACATCCTTGACACTCCTTTCTTTTCTCTATCATATCTAACTTTCTCCAAGTCCTTACAATTTTATCTTATGGTTATTTTTCAAATCTTTAAAAAATCAACTCCACTGATATTAGCTTAGTTGGTTGTTTCTTATTTGGAATATTATAGAAACCTCCTAACTAGTCATTTCTCTTTCAGCGTCCCGTTGAGAAAGCAAAACCAAAACCAAACCCCAAGCCCCCCCACCCCCCTAAAAAAACAAAGGCAAATCTATTAACTTTCCTTTTACTACTTTAGATCCTTCAGTGATTCCCCCAATTCTTAATGTGGTCTTCAAGGATTTCCATAATCCAGCCACAGCTTGTTTCTCCAGTCTCATCTTCATTTTTCTCTTTTGTTTTCTGTGTTTAGCATCATTAGCTTTTTTCTAGACCCTGGAAAGA